CTATTTACATCTCTAAGAATCAAAACACTTCTCTTTCCAATTCCAAAATGTGATTGGGAGAAGAATTCATACAGTTTCATTTATCATTTGAAGCATAAATTGAAGCAAGTATTCCTTTCTAATATTCAATTGAGTTGGGCAGCTCAACCACCTACATTGTGCACATCTGCTTTGACCTAGAAGCTCTGCAGCAGAGTATGCATCTCCAGTTTGGGGCACAACTGCACACACAAAACAAGTTAATATTGCAGTCAATGAAGCAGTATGCTTAGTTACAGGTTGTCTGAAGCCTACGCTTATTTTTGGCCAGCAACAAAGCCAAGAAGTTGACTTCATTATGGCAGTTTAAAGTTTGATCTAGACAGGCAAGAAGTTGAATTTTGAATAGTAAACACACCCTTTTCTCATGTTGAATTTGTTTTTTCAGATTCACTGATAAATTTCTAGTACCAATGACTAGTTCATTTTTCTCATTTGTTCAAGACCATAAATTTTTGATCAAAATATTTGCATTCTAATAAAATTAACGTCATTTCTTTAAATATATATTTCTTGGAGCTATATATTTCTTTTCCCTTTTCTGTTTTCAAGATAAATCTTTATTTTTTGTGAAATGGATTATTCATTGCTAGTTTTCAGCTGAATATGTGAAGAAAGATTTGCTGCCTAATACGGTTTTTGTTCTTAAGCTTGCTCTTTTGTTGCCTTAACTGTTATTCTTATGGACTTATATATTCTATTGGCACCTCCATTAAGTATACAAAGACTTTTTTTGCCAATTGTGATGACTTTCTGATAAAATGGCTTACCTGCATCTGGTCTTTCTTTCTTGCAAAGTATACAGACATAAAAATCTATTTATTTTCTTTCTCACTATATCTGGGAGAACTTCAGTGTACTGTTCGTTAGATTATTCTGAAATTTTTGAATTTCTAGTGATATATGCTGATAAATGTTGTATTTTTCTTTCTAAGTTTTCTTTTCTAAAATCTTCAGGTATTCTTTAAATGACTTTAAGTCATTTCTATACAGGCCTATTCCTGCTATTTAGTCTAGCATCAATAATACCTTTAAATGCTCTGTTCTCGAGATAATTCTTGATGTCCTGTTTGCATATTCTGTCTTGTTTTGTTCAAATTTAGCCATAGATAAACATCTAACATAGTCTTATTTTGTATTTGTAAACAATTTCAGTTAAATAATGTTTTCAAAATTAAAGACATTTTGTTTAATGTTATACTTTATAAAAGTTATGCCATTCTATTAAGTTGGATTTACTAAAACATTCATCTTGAGCAGGGCCTCCTAAATTATTGTGTACAGTTGTATCACTTAAAACACACAAGACAACACCAATTCTTTTCTCAGAAAATGTCTTCACCACTTTGATCCTGAAATAACTGTACTTTTGCCCTAAAAAATAAAATATGAATAATATAATTCTTTAAAGATAATAAAAGTACTAAGAAGTTTCCCTTGAGAATTAAATTCTAAAATTGGAGGATAACAAAACTAAGTGTCGTTTCCCTGTTGTGATGCTTACCTAATTTCCACAGAAATGATAACTTGAAAAAGAATTTGGGTGAAAATCCCAGCTACTGGCTAGATTCAGACAGCTTTATATGTCTGAATCCTTCAGACATATTCCTTTCCTATATGTATTAGAGGTTTAAAGATCAAAAATAGCACTTTGACTAGCATGCCCATGAAAAACCTAGTTCTCTAAGAACTAATTTTCAAAGTAATACTCTGTTCTTCTCATAACTGCCTGCAATATATTCTCAGCCAGCTAACATTTTTAAAGAATACATAAATAATAGAACTGGATTCAATATTCTGTTTGTTTAATCCTTTTTATGGTTGTATTCAAGGTGTTGCACACATCTAAAGAAAAACTGCAAAATTTATCATAACACCACCACGATCTATTTCTACATTTATCTTCCTGCATAGGAAATCAATATCCATGCATCTGCTTCTTTAGAAGATACAAAGGAAAATACAATGTATTAATAGGCTTAAAAAGGTTAATAACAAAATTACTTATTTTATTAATAATAAAAGCAAAGTAAATCATTCTGGCAAACAGAATGAAAATTCTTTGTCTAAATCTTCAATTACCATTAAACCAATCCCACATTATTGTTATTGCTCCATCTTTTCTTCTCTGATTTGAGTGTGTTTCATTTCGTGCACCTGGTACTTTTTCAGATGATTTTCTTTATTCATTTAGACAGTCTTTGAGAGTCCCTGGAACAAGCTCTAAAAATACAGTTCAATACTAAATGCCAATTTAAAATAACTATGCACTTTTCCTTTGAGACCCTATAATTGGAATATGGCTTAAATCTCTTTAATAAAGATTCAGGTAGAAGAATGATTCATATCAATAAAGAGAATATTTGTAACAGAGTTGAAATGAGGGGTCCTTGCTCCTCTCTTAGATTAGTTGCTTCTTGCAGACATTTCATTATCTAAACTAGGTAACATTATCAGTACTATATCAGGGCTATCATGTGAATGATTCATATGTTCGATGCATATGATTTACCCACCATGTTTAAATCATGGTATACTGATGATCCCATTTTTTAAAATCAGATTTATTTTAAAATAAATATATCTCAGTTTATTGTGATTAATAATAGCTTTGAGTGACCTTATATTTGCTGTGTGTGACTTTTTCACTGTACATTATGTCATTCATTTCTCCCTTTTCCAATGCTTGCAATTTGGGGTCCTTACATTTTTTCCTTTACACTGTTTCTCTAAATACTTAGAAATGAATGCTGCTGCCATTTGCTTTACAAGACAAAGGAATATGTTGGTCAATATTACAACCACATACATATATTTAAAATGATATTCTTTGAACTAAGCTAGAATAACCAACTCAAAATCTGAATAATATTAAATTAGAATTGGATCAACTGAGAAATAAGATTCTCCAGAAACAAAATTGTGAGACTGAAGGCTATATTTCCATAGTATCCATAGTATCGTTATGTATTAATGGTCCCAAGACTTGTTATCTTGTAAAGTCAAAATAAATAAGAAACCAGATACGAAAGTCCCATAATCCTGTAATTCTACAATTGAAAGCAGTACATAATTCTAGGAAGAGAAATCCATTTCTGTTAGTCCAGTGCTTCATTCTAAAAATCACTTGTTGCATATTGGATTCTACGAAAGAAATGCTTGCTGTCGTTCTGAGGGTTTTAGGGACACGGTGTTTTACATGTAAGGATGGAGTGACCAATTATTATGCAAATTAATGAGTACTAATTATGTGTACAACACCTTGTCCCTAAAACCCCCAGAACCACAGCAAGCATTTCTTTCGTAGAAATGTTTAGATATATTTCAAAAATCTAACTGAATTGCTTCACCAGCAGATTGCAGATTTTGATTTTTATAATGAAAACTAATTGAATAATTTAAGATCTGATAGTAGTTAGGGCAGCACTGTGTTGCATTGAAAGCTTTTTGTAATTCATACATTTTAAGAATATAACAAAATCTCTTATAGATTACAATAACTTGAAGGTTACCTAACTGAGATATGAGGACCTTCTCATCTTGTTGTGGATTTGGGATTAAACAAAATGTAGGCAACATGAAGAGGGCAAGGTTAATGTGCAGATAGTCCTTATATTACAACAGTTCATGTAATGACTGCAAAGTTGCATCAGCCCTGAAAGAAGTGACTTATGATTGTTTTCCGCACTTACAACCATTGCAGTGTCCCCATGATCAAAATTCAGATGCTTGGCAGCTGACTCATACATGACAGTTACACCTGGGTCATGTGATCTTCCTTTTGTGACCTTGTGACCAGCAAAGTCAATGGGAAGCCAGATGCACTTAACAACCATGTTACTAACTGCAGTGATTCACTTAACAGTTGTGGCTAGAAAGGTCATAAATGGGGCAAAACTCACTTAACAAATATTTAGCAACAGAAATTTTGATCTCCATTTGGTCTTAAGTTGAGGACTACTTGTATATTGCTCCCTTTCTCTTTTCAGCAGTTATTTGTATGTCATTTGCCATTGAGCCATCTGTGTTCTCACTTTCTGTGCACTTTTCCTCCTTCCCATCAGTTATCTACCTTCTTGCATTTCTCCCTATTCCTTCTGCCCCAAACTACTTCTGGGACCGAACAGCTCTATTTTGCATCTTATGTGGACAAAATACTCAATATGTACATGCTTCACTTTGAAAATGCACTCAAAACCAGTTTTTCCTTCACAAGATAGATCACATGCAGAATATTTTGCACATTGTTATATTCAATCTCCTGTATTGTTTTTATCAGCTATTAAGGTGGATATGCTATTTGTGAATTTGGAAAAGCTAGTTATATTTTTAGCATTATGAACAGATGAAATTTAGCTAATGGTTAGTAGTTAATACTGATGGTAAACTCTGGAGCAAAATTGCATGGAAAGGTAAGAAAAATATACAGGTAGTACTCAATTTATAATCAGTCGCTTAATGACATTCGAAGTTATGAGAGAAAAGTTGGGAAAAAAAGTAATTATAACTTGTCCTCAAAGTTATGACTGGCGTACCACCTCCACAGTTAACATGATCACATTTCAGGTACTTGGCAACTGGCTCATATTTACAATTGGTTGCAGCATCATGTGATCACAGATTGCAACTTTTTTGTCATTCCAGCCCCCCCCCGCCCCCCCCAAGAAAAACCTGTTGTGACTAATTTAACAATTGTGGTAAAATTAAATCCAGTCACATAGTGATTCAGCTTACAATCTGAATGAATTATAACAAAAATTCTGGGCTTAATTATGATCATAAATCAAGGACTACCTATATGGAAAACTGTTAAGAATGGATATCAGTTCTGAAAGCTTCAAAGGGATTTTATATTTAAACTTTGATTTACAATTATAGTCCCAATGTTTGGAGTATCTGATGAAATTGATTTTCCCTATTTTCAATAGAATACAATGAATAGTTTGCCTTTATTTTTATAGGTCTCACTAGGCGGTGTTGATCTGACAGTGCGGGTTCTCACAACGGGTTACTGGCCCACTCAGTCGGCCACACCAAAGTGCAACATTCCCCCAGCCCCCAGGCATGCTTTTGAAATATTTAGGAGGTAAGGAATTCTTCATATTTTTTCCCTTGGAATTTGTTTTAAAACATAGTTAAACATGCCCAGATTTTTGTCAGTGTTTATGTGCTAAATTATTCTGCATTTACATTAGATATTTCAAAAATAGTATTCTACTATTGCAAGATATTTTTGGAAAAAAATGTAGACATTGAAGGCTTAGAAACATTTGGATTGCATGCAGTTGCTTTAATAAGTTCTTATTTATTTATTAGATTTGTGTACCTATTCATCTTACGTATGTGGACTCTGATTGGTTAACAATTCTAAGATTAATATTTATATTAATAAGACATAATATTTGAACTATGGTTTTTGAATGAATTTTTCAAAATAGAAGATGTTTTGTAATAAATTAAATATTGTTATGTTTATGTAGGCTTCAAAAAACTTTTTGTTGGAAATTCACAATACAGTTAGGCAACTGTTGATTGATTGTTTTGAATTTTGTAGGTTTTATTTAGCCAAACACAGTGGACGGCAGCTAACACTCCAACATCACATGGGTTCTGCAGATCTTAATGCGACCTTCTATGGCCCTGTAAAAAAAGTAAGTGCCTTTGCTTATAAAAAGTGTGGTCTGAGTCATCTTTTAATGACAATTTACTATATTTGTACTTTCCCAAAAAAGGTTTAATTTGGCATTCATTTATCATTCAGAATAGCCACTTTCCAAATTTCACATGTGCTTTAAACAAAAAATGCATACAAATGTGACTGTGAAATAATTGACATAAACATGAACATATTATTAAAGTAGTAAAAATGCATATATTAAAGAAATATATTTTAAATATATTTTTAAAATGTAAAAATAAATGGAAGACTTTTTAATGTATTCTGTTAAATCAAAATTATAAAAAGATATAGAAGTACAGTGAATCACACCTAAATTAGAAAAAAATGCAAAACTTGTAAAGAAATTAGGCCTTTAATTTGTGCCACAGACTGTCATTGTTAATCATATGCTACACAAAGTTGTATTTTGGGAGATTTACTATATGAAGTATCGCTAATGGACGGGATAAACTTACAGTGTGATATAACAGAGGCATCTAGTTTTTCTGCCAAAAATTCTCAGAGAATTAGAACCACATAAACTTCAAGTTTCTCTCTATAGTAGATGTAGTCCTCAATTAACAACTGACCCATTTAGCAACTGTTTAAAGTTACAATGGCACTGAAAAAATAACTTTACAATTGGTCCGCATGCTTATAAGTGCCACAGCATCCCTGAGAACACATGATCACAATTTGTGACCTTCACAGCCAGCTTCCAACAAGCAGAGTTAGTGAAATCATAAATTGTGATCGTGTGATTTGCTTAACAATCAAGTGGGAAGTCATATGGTAGGTTCATTATGGTCCTGTGATATCTTGCTTAACAACAACAGTGCTTAGTGATGGAATTGCTGGCCACACTTGTGGTTATCAAGCAAGGACTACCTGTTCTCCCTCATAGTGTCTTTATGGGGATAGCAGCCTTTCCAAAGCTAAATGTGTCCAGATGTACTGTGTTGCAGTTGCCAGCTATTTTCAAAGATATGCTGGAGGTTCTAATATAGCATAGCTGGAAGGTGCCAAATGGAATTATTCTGTTTATATCTTTTTGATGCAGCCATTATAAGAAGCTATGTTATGTTTTGTTTCTTGGCATAGAATAGTCTGTCAGTAGCCAGGGATTGGACATTTCTTTGTTTGCTTGTTTTGGGTGCTTATGGCCATTAGGTTATATGGTGGTTTCATAGTCTCAGATATATGTTATTTCTTCCAGTCTTGTTTGACTTTATTTTAAAAATATATTTGTCATTGGTCACAAAATAACAGAATAACAGTGTTGGAAGGGACATTGGAGAACTTCAACCCTCTGCTCAAGCAGGAAATCTTATACCACCCACAACTTCATAATTTTCATAGTGTGATTTTACAGCATTCTAAGTCCACAAATAGCATTGTAGAGGTCACAGCTGTAAATTGTATATTTCTACTTTGCTTCAGAATAACAAGACACAGCTTGACAGTATCATCTGTTGGGAACTTAACTGATAGCAGCACTGTAATGCATATATGGTTTATTTGTGGCTTCTTTGTGGTTTGTTTCAGCTCTTTTCTCAAAACCATCCAGAGACATGCAAGATATCATTAGCCAAGACAAAAAAGAAATAGAGTTTTTTGCTATGCTTGTTCCACAGATTACATTATTTGTCAACAAACTGATTTGGCTTAATATGTAGATACTTTTGTATTTCCTGCTTTCAGTTACAGTTTGAAATGTTTTTTAAAAGAATACACTGGTAACTTTGATTTTCCAATAGCTTATTAAAAATAGGCCTATTAAATGCAAAATAATTCAAGTCCTGTGACAAAAAGCAAAGATAAATACCTTTAAATGAAAAGTATGTAACAACAAGCTTTTTAGTAAGTACACTAAATACTTAATCTCTAAGTAAATGAAAATATTGCTAGAATGACATTTGATTTTTTTATAATTAAAACAGGAAGATGGTTCAGAGGTTGGTGTAGGAGGTGCCCAAGTAACTGGCTCTAATACAAGGAAGCACATATTGCAAGTCTCTACTTTCCAGATGACAATACTCATGCTTTTTAATAACAGAGAAAAATACACTTTTGAGGTATGAGCTTTGTTAGCTGTACACTTTCCTTTATCTCTTGAACGTGCTTTTATTTTCACAAATCATAGTAAAATGGAATCGTTCATATATTTGAGCAATTGCATAGAAAAGTCCTATATGCGATTTACAATATTAATATCTAGAATACTAATTAATCTTACTAACCATTTGCACTTGTTAATTAAATCTGAGAATGCAGTATTTGTTATGCTTTACATCATTTGTTATAATCTTGAAGTTATATTACACCATTGTAAATGAAATTGATATGCTACAATTCTCCCTTCCATTATTTTTATTTAGAGTATTTAGTGATACTATTACCATTTTCATGCTGTGTATTTTTTCTGTAATGTTCACCTTTTTTTTGCCAAGCTGTAAAATGCAGGTGACATGGGTGTAACAGTGAGATTATTGCATTTAAATGTCACCATACATGGCATTGAAATTCAGTATGAAATTAAGAACAAAGCTATTTTAAAAGTGAATATTTAGTATATTGGCAAGTCAGTTAAAACTTTTTTAAAAAAAAATATTTTAAATCAAAGTTGATTTTGTTGTATAAATATTTAATATTGTTTTAGTTTGTTATTTAAAGTATTTTGTGAAAAATCTTGCTAAGAATAATGCTAATTATTAGGCAAGTGGAAAAAAACTTTCTCTGAATTTAGAAATTTGGAACTTGAAATTCAGAATTGTGTTTTTGAATGCACGTTCAGATTTTTGTTTAAAACATCTTTATTTTGAGAAACAATGGATATCACAGGTTATTTTCAGTGTCCTATTTTCTGAAGTGGTAAAGGGCAAAAGAGTGAGGAAGAATTACTGTTATTGTCTGTGTTAAAAATATACCCTGCCTTTGTACAGAATGTACAGACTATATACAACTCCCCAATTTTAATTGGTCGCCCAATCTTAAGTACACACCACATAAATTCAACCACTAAGTGACCAATTTTTAGTGAGTTTTATTTTTTTCAATAACAGTGGGAATGGAAATCTTAAATCTCTCGAGAAAACCATGTCACCCCAGCTATTTGCAGCTTCTTTGTCATTCCCAGTTCTAAGACCCTTAAAAATGCTAAACATAGACTGAAGTTTCAGTAATGCCTTTTGGTGACATCACAACACAGATTCTATTTTGTGACTTCTGTTTGATCAGAAGATTGAACGATAGGCCCCCAAGGGCTCTTTTTAAAATTTTGCTTTTCTGTGTAAAATTTTTTAATTCAATTTGATATAGGAGATACAACAAGAGACAGATATTCCTGAAAGAGAGCTTGTACGAGCGCTGCAGTCCCTTGCATGTGGCAAACCTACACAACGGGTTCTTACAAAAGAGCCAAAATCAAAAGAAATAGAAAATGGACATATATTTACAGTGAATGATCAATTCACATCCAAACTGCACAGAGTCAAGATTCAAACAGGTATGTTCACTTTCAGCTAGCTGTCAGTTTCACTGTTTATTGATTCCTGATTGCTTTCTCTCTCACTCTTCATTACAGCTCCCCTTCTCTGGCTTCTTCTCCAACGATTTCAAATATTTCACTGTCCTGATCACACAAAAAAGGAGGGGGGATTATTAGTTTATTTTCTGTTCTAATATCATTCTCCTTTCTAGAATTGATAGTCTTAAACATTCCACTGAAAATGCCAAATCTAAAGGTTTTCATTCTCATATTTCTGGATCCAGTCCCATTTGATTCATTTTGTTATTTATCAGTTAGATCTCTGTGATTGTATATCATATAATTCTCTGTCTAATCATTCTTTCAAATTCCTTTTTTTCTGGGTGAGGGTTTCTGCCATCCCTTTGTCTATTTTTGTCTGTTAGTATATTTCCTAGGGAGACTTAAACAAAATGTCTTTCATTAAAGTATTTCTGTCAGGCCTGCAATTATATTCCTTTTAGAATTTTGACCTGCCACACTTTCTCTTATTTCATTTTGCTGTTTCATTAGTGTAGTCGATGGGAGGGGGGAATAGAAGGAGTAGGATTGTGGAATGTATTATTTTCATTCTTTACTAGAAGCCAAGGTCATCCTTTGTCTCCGCACTTTCACACCTGACCGGAAGCAGCTGGGTGGAGACGCCAGCGTGGAAGAAGAAGATTGGACCATGTGATGGATTGTGGGTGTGGGGACAAGATCATGAACTTTTAACTGGGTGGAATTCTGATGTCATTTCCAGTATTGGAATTCCATAGCACAATGCCAACATGCCTGTCTTATTAAATTGGAATTTTAAGGATAGTTTTGCCTTTGACTCTGATTTAATTCTGCATGGTATTTGGAACGCTGACAATTTCTTTATGAAAAGTATAAGTCCTCTTTTAAAGATGATATTCCAGATATTGCCAAAAGACAATTTCCAACATTTTCTGGGTGCATAATCAATTAAAGATGCTGGGAATTTTATCTGAGAAAAACATAAGAATGTCAGCTTGTTTAAGGAATGAAAACCAAACAGGTTTCATTATTACACTACTGGATCACTTTGACTTTATTTTCAAATTGTCAATGATTACTATTTTTAAAAATGCTACTTTTATTTTAATTGTGTGGGTCTGTTCTATTCTTTCAGTTGCTGCCAAACAAGGAGAGTCAGACCCCGAAAGAAAAGAAACAAGACAGAAAGTAGATGATGACAGAAAGCATGAGATAGAGGCTGCTATAGTGCGGATAATGAAATCTAGAAAGAAGATGCAACATAATGTGCTAGTAGCAGAGGTAATTTAATTAATTGCTGAAACATTGAAATTAAAGTATTTAAGTTTCTAAACAATTTTAAATTAAAATTTCACAGTTAAAGGATTCATGAAAACTCTCCCAATTAAAGTGAGTTAAAGCAATTCTTTAAAAGTACTCACAAATGGAGTTAGGCACATATCCCTGAGGACAGACCTCTGTAGGATTGGGTGATACTCTGGTTCTAGCCCCAGCATATGATCTTAATAATAACCATAAAACTAGTTTGTACCACCAAAGCAGGGTTGGATTGCTGCCCATCCCCACAAACCGGTTGGTCACCGGACCTGGAAGTAAGCCTGCCCCGCCACCGGCCCTGTATACCCGTCCCGGACGGTATTTTGTCCCTTCTGTCTCCCCGTTGCTCAGAGAAGCAACTTTGGGAAGGTTCTTTGCTAGCAGGCAGGTTCTAGGATGCCTGCCACCACCAAAGGACCTTCCTGGAGTTGCTTTTCTGAGCAACGGGGAGACAGAAGGGACAAAATACCATCCCTTTTCCCCGTACTCAGAAAAGCAACTTCGGGAAGGTCCTTTGGTGGCGGCAGGCATCCTAGAACCTGCCTGCTAGCATATAGTGTATTATAGTCAGTCTAATCTTGATATAATATAGCATGTATAAGTGTAAGCAGGCTTGCTTTTCATAAACACAGTTACAGCTGACATGGAGAGGAAAAAAGTAAATATATCGCAATATTTCACTGTATGTATGCAGTCATGCATATATTTTTTTGGACAACAGTGATGAGATTGCTGGTCATCATCAAATTTTAGGATATTTTTGACTTTAATTTACTGCCGTGGTAAATACTAACACGTCCATCTCTGATTACCTTCCAAACCCACTGCTTGCACTTGCTTAGACACCGTCCTAGCTCCAGCTGCCATATATTTGCTTATAGTCAGCGATGCTTACCATAGGACCCCAAAAATACAGAATTAGTTTTTCAGTTTATGAAATTTATAAAAGCATTAATAATTGATAAAGCATCCTACATGTTTTGTTTTTCAAAGTCATATTCAGGCCTGCTTACTTGCTAATATAAATAATATTAAAATACTGTACCTTTTATTCCAGGTAACTCAACAACTGAAGGCACGATTTCTCCCAAGTCCAGTTGTTATTAAAAAGCGTATTGAAGGACTTATTGAGCGAGAATATTTGGCACGAACACCTGAGGACCGCAAAGTATACACTTACGTAGCATAAAACGTGTCCCACAACTATGATTTATTCTTGGACTATATTCTTCGCATGAACTGAGAAGTTCTTTTAAAAATCATTAAATATTAAGACGACCATATCTTCTATTAAATTACAATACATGTTCTAGACCAGTCAGATCAAGCCTTTACTCCTTCAGAAAGTTTTTCAACATCAAAATGATTGAGCTTCAAGCTTCTCAGCATTTATCCCTGTAGAGATCATCCTTACAGTTTCCTCGGGAAAATGTGAATGTGCCGCGTTTTTGTTTTCAATACTGTATGAAAACAGGAAAAAAAAATAAAAACAAATTTAGAAAATACAGCTCATTAAAAAAAAAAAAATTGTTGAAATTTCATTTCCCCGAATCTTCAGTGTTGATGTAAATGTGTTTTCTGTAGTGTTGCTTAGCACTTTGTGCATTGTATACGTTGGGTTACAAGAAAAACACACGATGGTAAGATTGAATTTCAAAAATACTGCTCTGTTTTGGACATTTCTTTTAAAAAAGTGTTTAATTTACTATTTGGTAAATTTATAAAAGCCTGGTGATTTTGGCTTGGTTTTTCTTTCCATCTACACTCATTCATATTCCAGTTAATCTGAGGAAGAACCTTTTTTTCTTGGCACAATTATGGGCTGTAATATTTGGCCTTCCTTTTTGTCATTTGCGATCTTCCAAATGAAATTGCATACTAATTAGGTTTGTTCTGATTCCTTTATAGGAGAAATGGGAAAACATTAGTTTGTATAAACTGTATTATACTTTTTGCTGTTGTATTCACTGCTCATAGTGGATTGTACAGAGCAATGTTTTTATTTCACTCAATGTAGACAAAACTAATTTAAAATAAATGGATTTAGTGTACACAGAGCACTAATTCAAATGTATTACAGCACAGGGATGGCAATTTATTAAACCAAATACTGCCCCTTGGAGAAGCACATTAACCTATGCTCTGTTCATGAGGTAGAAGGGGATTTTATGCCTTTTTAATTTCTCACTTTTCAGGAGGGTCAAATGAAGCCACTGTGCACTATTAATTTACTGTTTTAAAATGCAATCTTAAAATGCAATAAATATTGTTACTTTGATCTTATTAAATCTCCAGTTCTTGAAACAAGTACTTTCTCCTTCTCAAGGTGGGTAAGGATGAAGTTTTGACTACTACTAAAGCTTTAAGTTTTGATTAAAAAAAAATATTGCAATAGCATTTTACTGTGTAATCTGATACCAAATGAAATTTTATGTAGCTCCTATACTGTATAACGTAGTTTTACAGCAATGCGTTCACAAAGATTCTATCTTTTTGTGCACAAATTGTGAAGTGCTGCTGATCAATTTACTTTTAGCTTAAGTTCATAAATAGTATTCAGATGTAACAGTAACTTTTTTAAAAAAATAAATGCATAGCATGTATACAGGAAAGAAAACTAGTTGAATTCTGTTTCAACCTGTAAAGTTGAAGCTCTCACTGAGCTTTTCATGTGTTATTGCTGTTCTTTATTTGTACATTTGTATAGCAGATATCTTTTCTCTCAGTACTAAATATTTACAGCCTGCTTAGGCAGATAAAAGGTGGTAAGATAGTTCTGCATTGCAGAGTTGCTATTAGTAATTAATGTTTCCCCCGACTATGTGAAAGATTTCTGTTTTCCCTCCCCCCCCCCTGCTATGGAGATTGTTTTGAGTTATTGTCTGCAATATGAAAAACTGTAACAGAAATATAGGTAAAATTCTTGCAGTTGGGGTTGCTAATGTTAATAATGTTAACAAGACCAGTTAATGTGTACTTAATTGTTTTTTAATATTGTGTGATTGTTTTCATTCAGAATATTTATTTTTTAAAAAATATGTGTGTAGGTAATCCTTGGTTAATGGCCATTCATTCAGTGACCGTTTGAAGTTATGATGGCACTGAACAAGGAGACTTACAGCTGACCTCAAAGTGGTGGCCAATACTGCATTCTCATCATCACATGAGGAACAACAGAACTTTATATAACACAATGGAGACTTCCCCCTTGATTACAGATTTCATATACAGAGAATGATGATTAAGTAAAGATGAACTCTCCGAAGACCTATGGACTGTTATCTACAGTATTGTGCAAAAGTTTTAAGGAGTTGTGCAAAAATGCTATAAATTAAGAATGCTTTCCGAAATAGAAGTGTTGATAGTATGTTTTATCAATTAATGAAATGGAAAGTAAATGAACAGAAGAGAAATCCAAATCAAATCAATATTTGGTGTGACCACCCTTTGCCTTCAAAACAGCACCGATTGTTCTAGGTATACTTGCACATAGTTTTTTTGAGTAACTTGGCAAGGTTCTTTTAAGGTTGTTCCAAACATTTTGGAGAACTAACCATAGATCTTCTGTGGATGTAGGATGCCTCATATCCTTCTGTCTCTTAATGTAATCCCAACTGTCTTAATGATGTTGAGATCAGAGATCTGGCAGTCAAACCATCACATCCAGGACTTGTTCTTCTTTACTCTGAAGATCTTAATGAGAATGGCTATATGTCCTGCAGAATACATTTGGGGCCAATCTTACACCTCCCTGATGGCATGGTATGATGGATAAGTATCTGCCTGTCTTTCTTAGCATTGAGGACACTGTTGATCTTGACTAAATCTCCAAATCCATTTGTAGAAATGCAGCCCCAAATTTGCAAGGAATCACCACCATGTGTCACTGTTGCCTGCAGACACTCATACCGCTCTTCAGCGAACAAACCTATTCCTGCTACCATCAAATATTTTGAGTTTTCATTCATCAGTCCAGAGCCCCTGCTGCCATTTTTCTGCACCCCAGTTCCTATGTTTTGTTCGTAGTTGAGTTGCTTAGCTTTGTTTCTACGTTGGAGGTATGGTTTTTTGGCCACAATTATTTCATGAAGTCTGGCCAGACTTCTCCAGACAGCAGATGAGTGTACCTGGGTCCCACTGGTTTCCACCAGTTCTATGCTGATGGCACTGCTGGACATCTTCCAATGTCGAAAAGTAAGCATGATGTGTCTTTTATTTGTTGCATTAAGTTTCCTTGGCCAACCACTACATCTACAATTCTAAACATTTTTGTGCTTCAAAGAGCTTGAACAGACATCTTGAAAGCCCAGTCTGCTTTGAAATCTTTGCCTGGGAGAGATGCAGGAGAGAGATCTTACCTTAGTAGCAGTTTAGTTTTTCCTCACCCAGTCTTAAGCCTCCTTTCTGTTCCAGTTAATGATTGTTCCAACCTAAATATGAAACTGATAATCATTAGCATCTGCTTTATGTACTTGGTTAATCATACACCTGACTCTTATTGTACACAATCCCTGATTTTTTGCAAGTGTAAGAATTTATACCATTTTGAAGACAAAGAGTAGTCATACCAAACATTAACTTGATTTGGATTTCTCTTCATTTACTTTCTATGTTGTTAATGGATAAAAAACTATTAACTTCCATTTCTAAAAGTATTCTTAATTTACAACACTTTTGCACAACTCCCTAACACTTTTGCACAGTACTGTTATATACTATTAAAATTCACATAATGATCTTTAACTGGGTGAAACAGTGCATCATAGGGCAATAATTTTTGAACCAAGGTACCACAAATAGGCTAACTTGCAGAATCTGGGAGCCATGATTCCCTCCTGAATTCCTCTCAGCTTCTTCGTTTACTTTGTGGAAAGTCTGCAGGAAAAATTTAGACAGAGTTTGATTCCTGGCAGTTTTCCACAAAGAAACTCAATGCGCAGCCACCAGGAAGTTGAAAATTACTCTTGTTTTTTAACTCCCGTGGTAATTCTGTTTCTGTTTAGGTAAGGAAATATCTTTGAAACAATGACCCAATAAGGCATGAGTTTTCTAGTAATTACCTAAAAGTCTTCACAATAAAAGGATCTATGTAAAGCAGTTTTAGAATTTGATATCCTGAATATCTAAATATAAAAATAAACACTTCTATTTGGGTGGTCACAGAGAGGCAACCATGTGTTTTCTAGGCAACATGAAAATGGTTGCCCATTCCCTTCTTCCTGGATGCATATATCCATAGTGATTACTACTACTAATAGTAACCAGGTCTGATCCTGCATATCTTTCTTTTTATAGCAGCCAGGTTTCCTAGTTGGAAAACAGAATCTATTGCAATATAGATTCTGTTGCCACACAAAGTTAAAACTGACAAATTGCTAATCACTTTGGATTCTTGTAATTTAAAACATTGAATTAGGCACTTCTAGCACACAATTATGTTTGTTATCTATTAATAAAACTAATTAGATTTTTAATCTAACAGTAGACAGAATTTCTCACTTTCTAACTGTGCTTTAACTCCCCCCCCCAACCTTAATCCTTCCAGCAACTTGATTAAATATAAGTGGCCTATTAATTTGGACACACACACACAAATGCATTTCTATAATATTGTCCTGAAGGGGAAAATTAAACCAAGTAATGTATAGACCCTTAGGAGTTTACCTTTTTCAATAAGAGGCAAAATAAGTTTCTTATATTTTTTTAATATACTGAAATTTTCATATTTTAACTTGATCTGCATTTTAATTAACTTTTTAAACAGAGCAGCTGTATACAAAGGTAAGTTTTAATGCATTAATAAGTTCCTAAAAGGAGGATATTGGATTTGGACATTTATTCTATTAAGGGGTTCCAGGTTTCCAAAATAATTTGAAAGAAGTGCTTTGGGCTTTATGTCAAACAACTATTTTTCTGCTACTAATTAAGAGAGATGGTGTTGGGATTTTTAGTTTATCCCACAAACTTCTTAGCCTGAAAACGGATTTTTCTACTTTTAACGTTGATTCAGCAACTCGATATTTATCAATTTATCCAAACACTTGGGGAAAATGTTTTAACAAAAGTGTTGTGTTTTCCGAACCACTTTTAAAGACCACAAAATCTTATTCTCAAGCGTACCTTTTCCCAACTGATGTCATTGCCATCTGTTGGTACATTAATTTCCAGAATATTATATCACTATGTTCTTTTAATTATGAAATTCCAAGAATTTCACCTTCTGGAGAGTAAATAAATTACATTTTTACAGCTGAAAATAAACTCTTCCATTTTTTTAAAACTGCTTTGTAAAGTACTCAACGCATGATTATAAATGTAAGAAACAATTATTTGAGAAATAATTATGCAATGTATATATTGTTTCTTAACAGATGATAACTGAAAATCCTTGCACTGGATCTACAGTAGGCATAGTGCTTTGTGAAGATGAAGGCTTCCTCCATTAATGAAGGGAATCATCATTGACTGCAAAGGAACTGGAATGAAGGGTTTTATTCTCGTTTTCATTTTCCAATGCCACAGACATGTCATATTGTAGG